AAAATCTTGATAGTCAACCCCCTGCACTTCTGATCAAGTGTCAATTTTCTCCTTTTGTTACTTCATTATTTAAATTTTTAATAAAATCCAGTCATGTAACAAATATGTGACTACGAAATGAGGGTAAGAGAGGAAAATTATTATCATTTCCCATTAATAGGGGTGAGCATGGTCCGGATTGGTCCGGATTAGGATAAAACCAAGACCAATCCGTTATCTATGATTCTTGAAAAACTGGAACCAATCCAATCCATTTAAATCGCGGAACCAATCCAAACCAATCCATTTAAACACGGATTGGATCGGTTTAGGACTACGGATTCGCATAATTAAATAACAAAAAATATATATAGAACATTTTAATTTCATAAAAATATAAACATAGTATCATATTAGTTCCACAATAACAACATGTCTTTCCATAATAGCGACATACTATTTTAGAATTTAAACAACCATAAGAAAACTAATTCCACCATAAATATTTAGACCATTACAAATTAAAACTAAAAACCAACTAACAAAAGCAATAAAAGAAGATACTACGCGGGTTTAGGTTTGGGTTTAAGTTTTATATGGAATAAGAGAAGATACTATGTAGGAGGGTGTATAATATAAATATAGGCTATTTGTATACAGCTCAGATCGGTTCCAATCCAGAACCGATCCATGGACTACGGATTTTTAATTTTTCAATCCATAACCGAACCACGGATTCAAAAAAATCAATTCAAACCTACCGGATTAGACTAGACCGGATTGGATTATGGTTTTCACGGATTCCTTGCGCAGCCCTACCCATTAATATATACTTTGTCCCACATGATAAGCATGTGAGGGTTATATAATACAATATGTGTGTGTGTGTATGTGTGTGTGTGTGTGTGTGTGTGTGTGTGTGTGTGTGTGTTTTCTTATGCTGAAAATAGGATAAAGATGTAAGAAAATAGAGCTTTTGAAATAAAAAACAATGCATCAAAGAAATTGAAAACTTTGTTACTGTGGAAAACAAAGTTTCACTATTCTAATTTTTTCCAAACCCTAATTTATCTCTTTAATCATTCACAATTTGCGTTTTGTTTTAGCTAAATACAATCAAAATTTGATGTAAATTTTAGATGAAATGTGTACAGACGGGAAATTTGGGTGATTTTTCTCTCTTGCTCTCATTTTATAGTCATGTACTTATCACATTATTGGTTTCTATTAAAGACTTATATGATGGAATAACAAAAGAAAGACATTAACACTTTACTAGAAGTGTAGGGAGTTGATTGTCACATTCCATAAGTGTAGGGAGTTAATTGTCACGATTTCATATGTAAAGACCAAAGCGAGATTTGGCTAGAAGTGTAAAGGGTTGACTATCACGATTTCATGTGTAGGGATCAAAATGAGATTTAGTGCAAAGTGCAGGGGTGCAAAGTGTAATTTACCTATTAAACTATTAATTATTTTTTATACATTAGATTATTTCTTCATTTCACAATTTTTCAAAATAAAAACAATTTTATAAACTTTTCTTACTCCCTTCGTCCCAAAATATTAGTCTTTTATTCAATTTTTCATTGTCCCAAAATATTAGTCCATTTTGAAAAATCAAAAACTAAAATAATATTAATTTCCTATTTTGCCCTTTTTAAATTTATTAACAATAGAAAAAGTACAATTATGACAATTGATATTCTCCAAAAAATATATTATCAAAAGATAATTTTGAAAAATTAATTTTTTTAAAGTACAATAATTATACTATCAAAAAAAGTTGGATTCTCCAAAATGGACTATTATTTTGGAACAGAGAAAGTACTACTAATCTAATCCTATCTTTTATCATTAAAAACAAACAAGACATTATATATGTTAATCAAACAGGGCCTAACTTAGTCATTTCACTATCTGATGTTAGTAGTGTGTATAATAATATAATTATAAAAAATAAAAATAAATAAAAAATAAAAAAAGGAAAGAAAAATGTGAGGACATAACAGGGCAATCTAATAATTTGAAGTCCATAGTACCGGTTTCGAATCACCTATACTCATTTCATGTACCCATCTTCCATCTCATTTATGATTTCAAAATTAACGATGCGTCAACCTGAGATGAATGGAACCGAAGATGGGTACAGAAAAATAAGTACTAGAGATTCGAAGCCATAGTACCAAAGAATCAACACCAATTTTTTTATTTAGTCAAGCTTGCTATTGACATAAAGCACCAAATAAGAACAATAGTGTAGGTCCTTTATTCAGGCACTGTTTGGAAAATGGCCAAATCATTTATAATAATAATAAGAAATATATTTTTAAATCATATTTGATTATGTATTTAAATAGTGATTTGAAAATGAAAATGAAAATGTGAGAAAGTGGATAAAAAATTTAGCTTATATTTTATTTATATTTCTCTTATATTTGCCTTTCTTTTTTCAAATTCTTTTACCAATTCATGATTCAAACACAATTTTATTCATAATACAATGATGATTACATTTATTTATTAAAAATTATATATCACCTCAAATGTTAACATTATATTATTAGTAATAAAAATGAGCAAGTGTTGGGACTCAATACTTCAATAATACTATGCTGAATGCAAATCACTGTATTTGGTTTCAATTTTCTAAATTTAATTTTTTGAAAATTGAATTTTTTTTTTCGTATTTTTTGTTTTTAGTGAATATTTTTAAAATTTTAAGCAATTTTTTTTACTTTTTTAGATGCACCTTACCTAGATGTATCTAAAAAGTAAAATATTTGTAAAAAAATATTTCAAAAAATTCATAAATACACAAGAATACGAAAAATGTACTAAATTTATATATATGTATATATTGTATTTTCGGTATTCAGTGAATTTTTTAAAGATTTTTTTCACAAACATTATACTTTTTAAGTGTATTTATGTTAGGTATATCTAAAAATTAAAAAAATTATTTAAAATATAAAAAAAATTCAGTGAAAACAAAAAAAAAACATGGAAAACAAAAAATTTTAATTTTCTATAAAGTGAATTTAGAATTCACAAGCCAAACAAGCTGAATTACATTTATTTACTAAAAGTAATTTATTATCTTATATTTTATTTGTGAATTAAATAGGGAAAATTTCAAGTCAATGTAGGGATTGAATTATGAGGTATGTTAGGAATTCTAAATAATTTATCAAATTTTTTATCAAACATTTTACATGGGTGTGGGATCCACACATATGTGAGTTAAAATTAAAAAAATTATTTAAAATAAAAAAAAATTTAGTGAAAAAAAAAAAAAAAAACATAGAAACATAAAGTTTTAATTTTCTAAAAAGTGAATTTAGAATTCACAAGCCAAACAAGCTGAATTACATTTATTTACTAAAAGTAATTTATTATCTTATATTTTATTTGTGAAATAAATAGGGAAAATTTCAAGTCAATGTAGGAATTGAATTATGAGGTATGTTAGGAATCCTAAATAATTTATCAAATTTTTTATCAAACATTTTACATGGGTGTGGGATCCACACATATGTGAGTTTGTGTGGGTCTTATACTCATGTAAGAGATTTGATAAAAAAAAAATTAGTAAATTATTTGAAATTTATAACATTTTTCTTGAATTATTACTTTCAAAATAATAATAAAATATATAAATTTTAATTATTAAATTCATAAACTTTTTTATATATAAGTAATACCTTAAATATTTTAATTAATTACTATCTAAAAATTATAATTTTTAGACTTTTGTAACAATATCCATAAGTAATTATTTCTGAAAAGTCAAGCTCAATAGCTGAATAGTAATTTTCTCAATTAAATAAGGTAATGCAACTCACCACCGTTAGATATCGAATTGGTACATCAACGGTCCACAATTAAGTTAAGCATACTCTAGACAGTATCATCACACTCAGGACGGGAGAGAGAGAGAGAGAGAGAACGGTCGAGTGGCTCAAACTCAGATAACGAACCACCCCAAATCGGATCCTTACCCTAACCCTAGAGGAAGACGACGATAACTGCGCTTTGATCATGGCCTTCGCTTCTCGCCTCTTATCCAAATCGAAACAGGTTCATTCATGCTTTGATTTGATTCAGGGTTTTGAGTTATGATCTGATCTGTTATTTTCTCATATAGATGATCAGATATGGTTGCTTGGGGGATACTAATTTGAATTTGTAAAACGGAATTGTAATTTTGAGGATATAAAGCCCTCTTTGTGCATTATAATTTTGAGGAAATGAAAACAAATTTCAAGATTGAATACACATTTTTTATTGAATGTGGTCGATTTATGGTTGATTTACAGTGGGACGTAGATTTAAACTTCAGCTGGAATTTACAAGAGATTTGGTTGTCATTTTAATTTTAAAGGGCAAATTACACTTTGATTCTTGTGTCCATTTTGACCTTGAATTTATGATATTGTTACAATTTAGTCCAATTGATTAAACTCTTAGCATTTTTTTTAATGGAAAATACATGCATAAGTGGCATGTGTCATATTTTTAAGGGTAATATTATAAATTTAGTTAACTGAGTTACCCTCAACCAATTCAATAATCATTTTTTATTATAAAAAAAAAACAATATTATTAATTGAATCAAATTGACAAAAAAATTACAATTAAAGGTCAAAATTGAGCCAATTGAAAGTGTAAGGACTAAAATAACACAAAGAGCAAAATATAAGGATCACAAGTGTAATTTACCCAATTTTAAAATTTGATTTTTTTTAACAAATGCGTTTGTAGTTTCACTTGTAGTAAAGCCCTAGTTAGAGTCAAATGGGGCAATGCTAAGTCAAGTCATGTCTGGTTTAGTTGGATGAACATGACCAAGTGATGGAATCTATTAAACTGATACGATGGTAATATGTGAGACTATACAATGACAATTTTCAGTTTATATTTTTTGATTATTGAATTATTATTAAGTTATAAATAGGAGAGTGCATATAGAAGAAGCATCATATCCAATTCCCTCTCTACCACCCAATACTGGTGTAAGAATGGGTTTCTTACCATCCAATTATCAACTCACAATATGTATCATGTATTCCCTAATTTTCTGCTTCTCTTCTTCTTCTGCACATCTTTGCCATAATGACGAGAGCACTACTTTGCTCCAATTTAAGCAATCCTTTTCCTTTAATTGCTCTGCTTGCGATTGCTACAGAAATGGTCTATATACTGATAATTGGAAAGAGGGTACAGATTGTTGTGCATGGGATGGGGTCACATGTGATAACACCACTGCTCATGTCACTGGCCTCGACCTCAATTGTAAGTGCCTATATGGTACCATCCATCCAAACAGCAGCCTCTTCAATCTTGTTCACCTTCAACACCTCGACCTTTCTTACAACAACTTCAATCACTCTCAAATTCTACCTTCATTTGGCCGTTTCACAAATTTGACCCATCTTCGCCTCCGTTACTCCAATCTTTCTGGCCCAATACAATCATCAGAAGAAGAAGTCTGGCAAGGGAATAACTTCTCCAATAGCATTTTCCACTTACAGAAATTGCAGGCGCTGTGGTTAGGCGGTAACAGAGAACTCACAGGTAAACTTCCAAGTTTTATTAATGGAACTCTCCGGCACCTTATGTCATTGGATCTCTCTTTTACAGGTTTCACCGGAGAGCTACCTAATTCCATCGGCCAACCTGAGTACTTGGAGGTCCTATTGCTCTTTCACTGCAATTTCTTTGGTACCATTCCGACATCGCTTACAAACCTCACACGATTAATTTGGCTTGATCTTTCATACAACAATTTTGAAGGCCCAATTCCTCAACTTTTTTCCAACTTCTCGCAACTTCAATCTATAGATTTCTCGAACAATCAACTAACAGGTCCCATTCCATCATCAATAACTGGCCTTCCAAATCTACACTATCTAGGTTTAGGCAGTAACTCAATCAATGGGACAATACCTTCTTCCTTGTTTCATCTTGCCAACTTCTCGCAACTTCGTTCTATAGATTTCTCAAACAATCAACTAACAGGTCCCATTCCATCATCAATAACTGGCCTTCCAAATCTACAGTCTCTATATTTAGGCAGTAACTCAATCAATGGGAGAATACCTCCTTCCTTGTTTCATCTTGTGAACCTTACCTATCTTGATCTTTTGTCAAATAATTTAAGCGAAACTGTTGAGCTGGACTCGTTTGCAAAGCTTGAATATTTGGATTCTTTGGATCTTTCAAACAGTGGTCTATCATTGACCACCACCAACTCCACTCCCTCCTCTTTCCGAAACATTACGACATTACGATTGTCGTCTTGCAACATAAATAAAATTTCTGAATTTCTGAAAACCCGAATGGAATTGTTGGAGGTGCTAGACCTTTCGAACAACCACCTAAATGAAGAACTCAATCCACTCTGCAATCTTCATTCTCTTAAAACTCTCGATCTGTCCAATAACCAATTGACCGGATTAATTCCTACCTGTTTGGGGAACTTCAATGGAAATTTAACCTGGTTAAATTTGCAAAGAAACAATTTCCATGGTAGCATCCCTCAAACACTTGGATATGCAAGCATGTTACAGGAACTTGACATTAGCCACAATGGATTGCAAGGGGTGCTTCCAAGATCATTGGCAAATTGCACGAACCTAGAAATTTTGAATCTGGGTCATAATTTCATAGAAGATGCTTTTCCATTTTGGTTGGAGAACCTGCCCCAATTGAAGATTATTGTCTTGCGAGATAATAAATTCCATGGTCCCATAGAGCAACCAAGGAAGAGATTAGCCTTCACCAATTTACATATCATTGACATGTCTCACAATGAATTTACAGGCACTTTGCCATCAGAATACTTTGAGAGCATGCATTCAATGATGATGGATGATGAAGACAAATCCTCCTTAAATTATATGCACAATGATTATGGTTATTATTCGGTAACCATAATGAATAAAGGACTGGAAATGACACTCGTAAGGATCATCACCATCTTCAAAGCTGTTGATTTCTCGCACAACAAGTTTGATGGAAAGATTCCCATATCTATTGGAAGACTCAAAGCCCTCCATGTCCTAAATTTTTCAAGAAATGGTTTCACAGGTCCGATTCCATTGTCCTTGTCGAATCTAACTGAGCTTGAGTCCTTGGATCTATCCCAAAACAAGCTATCTGGTAAGATACCTCAAGAACTAACAAGCTTAACATTTCTTGAAGCTTTTGATGTCTCGCAAAATAATCTAACTGGGATTATACGAAGATAGCTCATACAAAGTCAATTATAAATTGTTTGTAGTAAATCTATTGTGTATTCTAATAAATTGGAGAAGTATTTGAAGGTTGCAATGCAAGGTAAAGCTATAGCGCAATTCTCTCACTGTGTCTTCTTTTGCCAATGCAAGTATTGGTTTGTAATCTCCAATGAACGACAACATGTGGAGGAAACATTTGTAATTTTTTTGTTTCATAGAGATGCAACAATCTTATCCTATATACTCTGACTCATTAATACAATATATTGTTATATATGTTTGTGTGTATAATGTATAAGAATATAAATGGAAGTTAGTTTCTGATGCAAACAGAAAAAATGGCCACTTGAACTTTTTTTTTTTGGTTATAAGGCCACTCAAACTTCGTACAAAACAACTTAAGTCTTGTATTTACTCAATCATTAAATTGGCGTGGAACACATTTGGAGTAAGGAGAAAATATACTATCAAAATGATCAGATTATGCCCTTATTGCGATCTTTGAAGTAGCACACTTCTTGACGATTTCTTTTGTTGATTAACAATTGATTTGTTGTTTTTGTTATGCATCTCTCTTCACTAATAGCCTTTCATGCGCCTTAGTTTCAACTGTAATTTCCCATCAACTATGTTTCAATTTGACTTATGATATGCATATCTAAGTTGTATTCATTTTCATTTTTCTTGTCTTTTTTCTTTTGCCTTTCCTAAATATTCACATTTTGGAACTTAGAAAGTGTTAAGAAGGTAGTTAGTGTCGTAAGTTAATAGTTACCTTAACTTTTTCCTTTTTTTTTCTACCCTAGTGGACAATTTATCTGCCTCTTTAACATTATCAGCCACTGTGTACTTTCGTTAACTATGATAGCCTTTTGGCTGGCCAAGTCACCGAATAACTTTTTTTTAAGGTAAATTATATCGTTGGTCTATCTAGTATGAGTAAAGTTTTGGTTTGGTCCTCATAATTTCAATTTGAACTTTATATTTCTAATTTTGTTACAATCTAATCATTCTATTACACACCGTTGAAATTTTATATGCAAAACTACCACATGCAACACGCATGAGATTCTTAGCAATTTCAACACAAGAAAAGAAATTGAATAAACTATACCAACGGTCTCTATTGTATCTTTTGAATTCTACTTTACTCTCTTTAGTTGTGCACGGGTTGTTTTTCTATCCAAAAAATAAAAGGGGCATGACAAGCGGATAATATTGCAACAAAAATAAAAGTATGGGATTTAAATGTTCAAATTAAGACTATGGAGATTAAGTGAAAATTAATTCGCTTAAACTATACAGATTAATGGTGTAATTTATCTTCTTTCTTTGTCCTTCTAGTTGAATTTTTTGAAATTTTATCAACTGATACACCATATATTTAACTCATTCAATTGGACTCTACCCTCACATAACACACATTTTAACACACTCTTTAACACATCCATGAGAGCACCAATTTACACTCTAAATTAATAGGCACTAAGCACTTAACACACAAACTTAACATCTCTATTGGAGATGCTATAAGAGAACTCCTATAGAGCACAATAGTAGTAGACATGTTAGTTGCGTCTATTTTATATAGTCTATTGACCACAAATTTGACTCCAGCATTCCATAATAGGTACCTAAGAGTTCAAACAAGTTAACTTATCAATCTTTCGACACAAACACAAATATAACACGATAGAATAATATGAGTATTAAACAGGTTAAGTTAGTGTTAAATTTATAAGGGTACTTACGTGTAGATCCTAATAAATAGACTTATTGTCTAATAGATCCTATGAAAAAATTGTCATAAAAAAAATCACTAATTATAAGTTTTAGCGACAATTAATAAAAATCATGACAAAAAAAGTCACTAATTGTAAATTTTTAGCGACATATATAAAAAATTGTCACAAATTATTTTTAGCGACAATTTTACTAAGACTTATTTTCAATAGGACTTGATGGAAATTATGTCCAACTATTAGGACCTATTGGTAGTTTACCCAAACTTATATAGCACGAAATTGATATAGATAACTTGTTTAATAAATAATTATTTACATATTTCAATGTTATTTCTACTAAAAGGTACCATGACATTTTTGAATTGCTTATATAACTCCATCTAATTGATTAAAAAGTAAGTAAAATAGAAATTTTAAGGCTAATATTTTTTTTTCCTTAATTGAAGATAATTTTTTTTCCTAGTATTTTAATCTAATAAAAATATAAAATAATAGGATGTAATTTTGTAAATTAAGCACAAAAAAAAAAATGAATTGAAAGCAAATATTTTTATGAATAATTTCATCCAATAATTGGTCTCTACACTGAATCTTTTTAACTAAGGTAAAAAAAAAATTGACATAACACGTTAATGCAACATGAACTGGACACATACCAAAAATGACATGACTCAAAAATACGAAATAATAAACATGTTACGTTAGTGTTGAAATAATTCAAATACAAACCTAAAATGAAACAATACAAACACAACACGACACCCACCACTAGTTCATATAAAGGACTTGTCATTATAGGAAAAAGCTATAATGTGCAAGCCAAAAAAGTGTGCACAAATTTGTATCCTCTAATTATGATGATGAGATGTGCACAAAATCACAACACAGTGTTCTCAAAATATGATATGATCTCATTCTGCAATAACTCCAATGACCCAATGAGTTACTCGGTGAGTCACTAGTGTTATTCAGTATGTCTGAAGTTATAATTTTAAGCACATTACATTGTAACTTTAGGCACATTGTCACAATTGAAATGAATGTGCATCATGTGCACCTTCTAGGTGCCTAGTAGAGATTGATCCATAATTACATGTTTATACACTAGTTTTTAAGTTGTACAAGTTAAAGATCTATGGAAAATCTAGGATTTGAACCAATTGCTCATATGAACAAATAAAATCAAATGAAACTAAATTTTGGAATAAATTTGATCAATTGTATAAATCTACTGCTAAAAACTAACAATTAATGACATTTTATGTGACAATTTTCTAATAAAATCTACCAAAACTAGCTTCATAGATAAGATACCTTTCTAGGCCTACTAGCTATAGCATTATAGATTTGTGATAGAAACAAACATAACATATGCACCAACTTGAACTAAAACAGATAAACAAATGCAAACGGAGGTTGAAACTGCACGAGTGTGTTGCCCTTTTTTTGGGTGACTGAATAAGTAGTTAAAACTGAATGAGAGAGGTAAAACACTTGACAATGCTCTTTTTATGCAACCATCAGAAGTATTTGGTAGGAAGAGGCATAGAAAGAGCACGCACTATAACATGATTAGAAGATTTCAAAAGATTTGCCACAATTGCTTAATGACATAATACGATGCATTAAAAGTAAACCTAAAACAAAGAAGAAGAAAAATTAAATGAGCACCATTCCTAGCATCTACCTCATTGTACTGTTACAAGTAACTAATTTCCTACTCTAAGGTCACAGCTACCATTTGAACAAATCGATCGCCACTTTCTACAAGATTCTCATCTGTGGAATCTGAGCCACTTCCAATTGTGTTATCTGAATTATCATCTGCTGTCAGCATGCTTAATAATCCAGTCAGTGAACTTTGGAGAGGATGCCAACTCAGCCACAGCATGTCAGGTTGATTCCTGGGTGAAATTCTCCCTCTTTTTTTGAAAACTTCTTTCTGTTGGGTGTCCTATGGAATGTTCAATAGTAATCCTGTTGATTTCTTGTCACCCCCTCCCAGTGGTCGGAGATATCACACCTGCAACAGCCAAAAACAAACTAATGAAACATGAATTAAAGGTCAATACCAATGCTATATATAGTATAATTTACACGAGTACCATTGTACTTTATAGACATTTTTAGAAAGATTGTCTGCATGAAACATCCTCAACAAGATTAATCCTCCCAACCAAAAACCTACTCTGTTCATTTCATTTTTATTATGATTACAATATCATGGTCAAAACCAAACCATGAAGAATGAAGAGTGGATCATAGGAGCTCTGAAACTGACACCACATCAGGCAATACAAGCCAATAAATGTCAAGAACACGAGATATTTCAAAAGAAACTGAATATTTACCTTGCCAAGTCAAGCATGAACCCCACTTCTAATATACAAAAAAGAATATTGTTGTAAAGATAAAAATATAAATAAAGTAGGAACAGTTTTAAAGAAACACTTACTGTTTGTTAATCTTTAATTCCCAATTTGCGCAACTACTAATGCACAAATTTGGATAAATTTATTAAAAACATAGACTTCTCCCCCATCAAAATATTTCTTGTTAGATATTGTCATGTCCTAGTGTGTGTCTACATCCAATTTTGCTACAAATTTCACATCATACATCTCATTTAATGCTCCATGCTCCATAAAAACCATCATACAGACTTCATTAGGATAGCGAAACATAATTTTGTGGTCATTAATGCAACATACATTGAAAGGGACGGTCCAATTGCATGCCTACATTTAACCATCATGTTGCAGTCCAGACAGGTGATGATGAATCCTCAACTCAATTCTTTAAATCACTTATAATCTCAATTGAAAGTCAAGATAGAACAAAGTATAAAAATTTCAAGATTAAAGCTCATAATCTTAAAATCAACACAACAATTACTTAAAAGTAGAACATGTGTCTAACATTAGAGCTAGCATTGACTGAAACTGCTAGCCTAACAAACACATCAGCAATAAATGGCATCAGGTTGAACAAAGTTTATAAGCAAGTCAACACCAAGTTACCCACTTTGAACCTAAATGAAATTGGGAACGGTGTGGGCTCACCACCAGACTACTTCATTATCACCGCTACTTATACCTCATCAATTTTTATTTATTTATTTATTTTTATTTATTTTGGATAAATACTTATACCTCATCATTTTAGGCATAGATAACCTTATGATCCCTATACAGTTCACTCGAATACATCTTTCTAAGGTAAGGAACACCAAAAATTATCACGAGCAAATCTGACCACAGAATCCCA